CATATATCATATATTATATATATATTATATATATAATACTATTATTCATCTCTCATGAATAAACGCCTATGTGTGGAATATTGATCCATGTTCACTTTAGGAAAAACTACCAAACACTCTTTCCAAGTACCTGTGCCATTTATACCTCCACCAGCAACGCTAAATATTTCAGATGATTCCTATCTTCACCATCATCTGCTGCTTTCACATACTAATTCATTTTAGCTTTTCCAGTATCTGTGAAATATCCTTTTATGTTAATTTACAGTTTTCTGATGATCAATGCTGTGTACAGCATTGATAAATACTGATATATAACGGCATGTGTGTATGTCTTCTCAAGTGGTAGTGGTTATTGATTTATATTTTTTTGTCCAATTCTAAACTGGACTTTTGCCTCTTTATTAGGGGTTCTTTATATATTTTGGATGCACATACTCTGTGAGATGTGTACGTTGGAAATGTTGATACCCAATCTGTGGTGGTGCCTCTTTACTTTCTGAGTGATGTCTTTTTATGAGAAGGAAGGTTTCATTTTAACAAATAAAATGAAATGATTAATCATGTTTCCCTTTTATGTATCTACTTCAAGAAACGTTTTTATTCCAAGGTTACAGCATTTTTTACAAAAGCTATCGTTTTAGTTCTTATACTTAGGAACACTGCTGGGACACTCTGGAACAAGATGCACAGCTAACCTAAAGGCTGCATCTCTCTAGTGGTTCAAATCCACCAGCAGCTCCATGGGACAAAGTCTCTTCCATTTCAACTTACAGCCCCAGAAAACGGATGGAAAGTCACTGAGTCAGAACCAATTTGCTGATCATGACTGAGGACTGATACTTGGGTATATGACTTAACTGGAACTGTTGGGGTTTTTTTAAAGATTATGTGATTTTAATTTTTTTCAGTACAAAGTTATTCCAGAACCATTTCTAGAAATGGACTACCATATTTTTAAACAATGCAAATTACACATTTGTGTAAAAAAATCTAGAAAAGTATGTTTAGAAAGATACTTGCAAGGACAGGAGTTGCTACTGACAAGCAAATGTAGAACATGTATCTTATGTGCATGAAAATATGGTTTAAATGTTAAGTCAATTTGTTACCCTGTTCAATCTCATAGATTTATTTATCATTATTAGAGTTAAGGCTTAAAAGTACATAGTATATTCTTTCTGATTTTAGTCTCATTAAGCTTGTTGTTGTTTGCCATCAAGCTGGAACCAACCCACAGCTGACCCTCCAGTTGGTTTTTATTGGTGGTTAATCCAACAGGAGGAGACTGCAGCTTCTTACCACTAGGCTGCCTGGTGAGCTCTGCCAGCTGCTCCATGGGAGGAGGATGGGCAATCTCCTCCTATTGGATTAACTGCGTCTGAAAATCCCCCAGAGGGTCAGCTATGGGTTGGTTCCAACTTGACAGTATTCAACAAGAAGCAGCTTGTTTTATTCATTCCAGTAGTCTCAGGGCCTGTTTAGAATCACCTTATCAATTTCTATTTGAAAAACCTAGTGGAATTTTTATTGATTATATTAATTCAGCAATTTGGGGAGAATGCACATTTGAACACGAGTGAGTTTACCAACCCATGAATATGGTTTGTTTACCCATTTATTCTGGTCTTTTTTAATCTCTCTTAGCTACAGAAGCAGGAGTGGCATCCAATTTGCCTCTGGAAACTCTATAAAATTTTATAAATATCGATATTTCTAGAGGAGCTTCAGGACTTTTGTTCATAGGATCGCTATGAGTCATGCTCAACTCAAAGGCAACCAACAACAGCCATGATTTATAGTTGTCAGTGTCGAAGACTAGCTTATCTAGCATTAAGAGAATCCCTACATATTACATTTTTTATGTTATTGCAAGCACTGCTTTTTCATTTTCTTTGTATTCTTGATGGAATACATAAAAACAACTATCTATTGTCACTGTAGTTTACAATCTCAAATTTAATGGCTATATAGGATGTTTAGTGATTTGTTATAATTACCTACATAGATGATTCTGTCAAATAAAGACAGTGTTTTTTCCTGCTCTTCCATCTCCTCTAATCCTGGCTAACCAGATTCAGTTGAAACAGTGCCCCATCCTTCCACTCTTTCCTCACACCTAGCCTGAGGGGATCCTCCCTTCTCTGAGCCATTAGAATAATTACTGTCACATAATTTCCTCGCTCTCCCCTTTCCCATCCCCCAGTCCACTTTGCTATGCACCTCTTACTCTGAACTGTTTTCATACAAATAATGCGTAATCATATATTCCTTTTAAACAGTTCTTGCTTTCATCTGTCCCAGTGCAGTGTTCATTATTTATCTCCTCTTTTCTTAGTTTCCCCCCAACCTCCATGTCAGTCCTGTTTTATAACTGGCATTATGCATTATTTGTCCTTTTGTGACTGAGATATTTCACTTATGCAACAATGAATGAATATTTTTTTAAAAAAAAAAAGCAAAGTAGGGGTGTTTAGGGAGGAAAATGAGTGAATGAAAAGTTCAATTTTTCTGGAAACTTTCATTAACATAACAAAAATATCTGGGAAAAAGTGAACTAGGGAGGTAGAGAGGAAAATGTACAACAATCAATGACTGAAAATCCAGCTTTTTTGTAAACTTTCATTAAAATCACAATAAAAAAGAGGGGGAAGTATTACTGTCTTCCATTGTCCTGAGTTCTGATTTAAAATTAAATTGCTCTACCACTCCTGAAAAAAGATAGTTTTTAATGTCTTCTTCTCGCCTAAAAAAGATTGCTTTTAACATCTTCTTTTCTAATATTTATGTATTTTATTTAATTTCTTTGCCTCAATGCACTGATGAATAACTCTTATATCTTTAATAGCTGTGGCAAGAGCAGACAACTATGACTTGTTCTTGAATTTGAGAAGAAAACATTAGTATTTCACAACTAAGTATAATATGAGCTAATTGTTTTAGATTGAGGAAGTCTCTATTTTCATGGGACATCTTATTGTGAACGGACCCAGTGCTTCTCCTCTATGAGAATCTTGAAGAGTCATGAATATTTCTCCATCAAATTTCTTTCACCTTAGGTTTTACCTTAAATCCCCTGACACTTACACGTCCATGTGGTGGCCAGCACTCTGAAGTCCGTCACCCATTTCTTTTTCTATGGCACTCCATTCACTAAGAAGGGGAGGAAAAAAGTTAATAAGAACACTTAGGATAGTAACTGAATCTTTATCTGGTTTGTTTCTAATCAGTTTGTAAACAATTTGCAATATCTTCATTTAGATTTTTTTCCATAACTGTTAAGTTTAACAACTTGCAAGTGAAGGCTTGAAAATGGAAGTTCAGAAATTATTATATGATACTTCTAAATTGCAAATGTGATAACTTTTTAACAAAATATCTATTTGATTTTAACGAAAGTTTATAGAAAAGTTAAATTTTCATTCATTCATTGTTGCAGTTTTATCCCATCTCTCTCCCTCCCTTCTCCCCAGTTCATTTTTTTTAATATTTACTCATTACTGCACAATTCCTTCTCCACCAGTCCTTTTTGCAATGTACCTCTTACTTTGCACTATTGTTATACATATAATGTTAATCATAAATTCTATTTAAACAGTTCTTTCCTTTATCTATTCCAGTGCAATGTTCATTATCTATCCACTCTTACCTTATTCTCCTCCCAAACCCTCAGGTCAGACCTCCTTTATAACAACGGTGCTATGCAGTATCTGTCCTTTAGTGACTGAAATATTTCACTCAGCATAATGTCCTGCAGGCTAATACACATTATTTAATGTTGTACGAGTTCACTGTTTTTCAGTGCTGCATAGTATTCCATTGTATAACTATACCATGGTTTTCCTGTCCATTCCTTTATTGCTATGCATTTGTGTTGCTTCCATATCTTTACTACTGTAAATAATGCAACAATAACATGGGTGTGCATATATTTGTTTAGATGGTGGCTATGTTTTCTTTAGGGTATATTTCCAGTAGTAGCTTTGCTGGGTCAAATGGTGTTTCTTTTTCCAACTTTTTGAGAAAGTGTTAAACCTACTTCCATGGTGGTTGAACAATTTTACACTCCCATCAGCAATGAGTAAAGGTTCCAATCTCTCCACAACCTTGCCGGCATTTTATTGTTTGCTGCTCTGTTAAAACTGCAATTGTTGCTGGGGTGAGAGGATATCTCAAAGTTGTTTTTACTTGCATCTTAGTGATTTTGAACATTTCTTCATGTGTTTGTTTGCTGTGTTAAAACTTCATTACAAATAAGCTTAGAACTCTAGAAAGCCCTATTCCACAGTATGGACAGTCTTCCAAGCATAATGAAAAACCTATAACCAGCAGAGAACAAAATAGATGAATGGGATCTTCTAAAATGTAAATCCTTATGTACATCAAAAAACTTCAACAGGGTAAAAAGGAAAGCTACAGACTGAGAAAAAGTGTTTGATAATGACATATCTGATAAGGGACTCATATCTATACCATATTACAGAATACTCTAGCACCTCAACAAGAAAAAAGTAAACAACCCAATCGCAAATCTGATTATCTCTAAGTGCAAGAAAACAGTTTCTGTTTACAGACATCATCTTCAGCCAGGGTGCATAATTACATCAACTGTGCAGTGCCTGGATGGTGCTAAAGCTTCACATACTCAGCAGTTAACTGAAAGGTTAGAGATCTGAGTTTACTCGGATGCACCTTGGAAGAATGGTCTGGTGATCGACTGAAAAATCAGCCACTGAAAAATTTAAGGAGCACTGTTCTGCTCAGATACATATTGTGGGTGGAGGAGCTTATAATCAGACTTTTTGAAAACCCAGCTGAGGTATGCTATTTTCCATGGATATGGTTATTATGAGCACACCTGATTATGGGCCACTGTTCTAATTGTTAAGGAACCTTGGTAGCACATGGATTAAGTACTGAGATGCTAACAGAAAGGTCAGCAGTTCAAATCCACTGGATGCTCTAAGAAAGAAAGATGCCGCCGTCTGCTTCCATAAGGATCATACTCTTGGAAACTCAATGAGGCAGTTCTACAAAAACAAGGGCAATAGGTGTAGGGTCTAAAAGTGAGCAGAAAAGACAGTATAGAAACTGGTGCTCAGTAAAAGGAGCAATAAAAACACTGGTGCTCAGTAAAAGGTGCTACAGAAACACTGGTGCTCAGTAAAAGATCAGTAATTTGCTATGCTATGTGAGAAGCCTACTATATAAGCACAGATCATTTTGGAATCATTAGTGCAAAATATAAGTTATGTAAGCTTATTATAGTAACCTGGAAAAATAAATCTACAATCTCAAATACTCAGAGATCACATAATATGATGCATCTTCTTCTAATCCTTTTATCCTCTCACTTTAATGTGGCTGAAATTCTTAGGAATATTCAATTTTGCTTATATTCCCCTTTAAAAGTATTTATTCATGCTATTAAAATACTGTAATTCTTTCTAAACACAGCTTCAAATAGCAACTCATAATTTTTTATACCATTTTCCAGACCATACAAAGTATTTCCAATCTTTTTTATCTAAAGGATGTTTTATTTAAAGAACTAAATGTCTTCAATTGCAGCACATCACAAAATTTTAAAATTCCGCTTCAATGATTTAGATCCTCCCAGAAGAGCTGTGGGTGAGCATTAATATTACTGGTAAGTATATTCGTTTACTCCTGGACACAAGAGCCTACTATTTGGTCCTAAAAGCCTTCTGAGGTCCCAACTCTTCTATTTCTTAGTTGTTGGGATTGACGGGAAACCTCATAAGCAGTTCCTTACTTCACCTCTGCCTTGCATGCGGATTTCTGAGCTGTAAAACAACCCAGTGGTTGATGGAATTTGGTCCAGGACTTAAGAACAAAAAATGACATAGTTGAGCCTCTACATCTTGTGGTTCCTAACCTTTATACTATAATAGACAAAATGCTAGTCAATAGGCCTTTCATTTTAAGAACAACTTTCCCAAAAAAAAACCAAAACAAAACTACTTTCCCTCTGTAACTTGATTTGTGCCACTATTAGAACCTCTACTTGGAATATTATTGATTTTTAATTTTTGACTCATGTACTTTTAACTTGTTAAATTTGTGTCTTCTAGGCTGCAACACTTCCATGATACATCTTCAAGGATATGAACATGTACGGCTAAGCACAACTGATAACATTGCATCTAAATTCCAAAATCAATCTCCATAATAGTCTATGTGTTTCCTATTGCCAAAGGGGCCCTTTAGAGTATTGAGAGAAGATCTTCACCCTGGAACCTACAGCGTCCCTTTTCAGCAGGAAGTAGCTAAGAGAATGCACCATCCCCTTTTCCTTATGAATCAGGGTGAAGTCTCTCTCAGGGAGGAGTGATAGGGAATGGCAAAGGACACACTGACAAAGGAGATTAATCAGAACTGGCTTTGACAAGCACTGTGGCAATGGGACAATTAAAACAGACTTTCAAGAGAGAAAAAAAAAAAGAGGAAAGAACTAGGGGGGAGGGTAGAGAAAATAATGCAACAATGAATGAATGGAAATCCAAAATCTCTGTAAATGTTCATTAAATTAATAAAATGTAATAAAAAAATTTAAAAATTCAAAGCAGTATTATTGTCAACTTGTTGTTTTTGTAAACTGTCCTTGAAATTTCAGATTATATGCTTATAGTACTAGACCAAAAAGATTCTCCCAAAATGATTAAATAGTTATTAAATATTGTGAAACAAGCAACACATACACACATATCACGTCTCTAACAGTATCAACATGGTTAAATGGCAAAATAGGTAGGGCTCTCTGTGATAATTTTCTTTCCTTATTTTGCCACTCTCAAAATAGTAAAGGTAGAAGTATTTTAGTGCTCTGTTATTTTAAAAATGTTTTTTAAATACCTCTAGCTCAGTTATCTAAGCTTCAAAGATAAATTCCTATGTCTGTATACAAGACAACTGTGCTTTGAATTCAACATGCCCTCATGGGCTTAAATCATTCCTATTTCATTATGACTCATGAGTATCTTATCACGAGCCAGTGCCACAAAGTCAACATAACCAAACAAGACTACAAGAAAATTTAAGGCAGGCAGGACTTAAAAGTTACTCATATTTATAATCAAAATAAGTAATTTAGCATCTGTCACATGATTTAGCATTTAGAGTTGGGAGATTAAAGGAGAGAATGAGCCAATGAATGAAATAATATTTAATGAGCCAGACAGATCAGCCAACAAAGTCCTTCCATTACCTATAGAATTTTTCAAAGCCAATTCTTTCAGAAGTGGATAGTCAGTCCTGCTTCTTACTCTGTCTTTGTCTGAAGCTCCACTGGAAATTGTCCACCAGATATAAATACTGGTGGCACTGCTTCCAGCACCACAGCAACATGCAAGCCAGCACAGTATGGTGAACTGACAGACAAGTGGTGGCACGGATGGTGAAACCTCGTCTCATATACTGAGGGTGTGTTGTCAGGAAGCGCCAGTCCTTAGAAAAATACATCATGTTGGGAAAGGCAGAAAGGAAGACCCTCAACAAAATGGACTGTCAGTGATTTCAACAATGGGCTTGAGCATGATAGAGATGGGCTTGAGCATGATAGAGATCCTGACAGTGAAGCAGGACAGGGCAAGGTTCAGATCTGATGTTCATAAGGTCCCCATGAGTTGTAGGCAACTCAGCAGCATCTAATAACAATGTGTTATCAGCCACTGCTAGGATCTAGAGTACTAAATAAACAAGATAAAATTCTCTGATCTCAAGGTAACCTTTTGCTACTTAAGCTGTGGTCTAACAACAGAATAGGCTGCAAACTGTTAGAAATTAAAAAGCTTGGCACCATTTCTAAGCTTACTGCATCAGAATATATGTGTTTACAAGATCAACATGTATCCTGTAAGACAATTAAGTTGTACTAGGTAGGCAAAAAATTCTAACCTGGGATCTAAGGATAAGAGAGAAAATGTTTAGGGAGGGTGGAGGAAACCATTTATATTCAAGGAACTATTAAAAGATCTTAGCAAATATTTAAAAGAGACGTAAATGCTGTCCTAAAGTACTTATGGGTAATTGAACCCGATCAGTAAGGGTCAGCAACTTGTTACAGTATTTGATATATGGAGCTAGTGTGGAGACACGTCAAAACCATAAATTTTTATATATTGTTTCAGAGA